TTTCTGTTTACCCGATTCATCCTTCTGGGCAACTGACCGCATAATCTTGAAAAACGGTAGGCACTTATCTGCTGACTTCGATATGAACCGATGAAGAGCTGCTACCCTTCCAGTCAGCCTCTGTATGTCCTTTACTGACTTCGGCGGTTCCATCTCGGCAATTGCTCTGATCTTTTCTGGGTTGACCTCAATCCCTCTTTGGGAAACCATAAAACCCAGGAATTTTCCAGATTCCACACCAAAGATGCATTTGGCTGGGTTTAACCTCATTCTATTCTGTCTGAGATTGTTGAATGTCTCCTCAAGATCGGTTAGGTGATCGTCGGCTTTCAAACTCTTCACCACTATATCGTCAACATAAACTTCCAGATTTCGACCTATCTGAGCTCGGAACACGATGGTAACCATCTTCTGGTAAGTGGCACCTGCATTCTTCAAGCCAAAGGGCATCATTACATAGCAATAGATCTCATCACCAGCATAGAACGAGGTTTTTTCTTCATCTTCAGGAGCCATTGGGACCTGGTGATAACCTGAGTATGCATCCAAGAGACTTAATCTCTCCTTCCCCGAAGCTGCCTCAACCAGCTTATCAATGTTTGGCATTGGATAACAATCCTTTGGACATGCATCGTTGAGGTTAGTGTAATCGATGCACATCCGCCATTTACCATTTGCTTTCTTCACCAACACCGGATTGGCGACCCACTCACAGTAATCTACCCTCTTGACAAAGCCGGCTTGTAGGAGTTTCTCGACTTCTTCTTTAATAACCTTTAGCCTCTCCCCCCCGAAGAGACGTCGCTTCTGGGCTACTGGTTTCTTGAGGGGATTGGTGCTGAGTTTATGTTGAAAAACTGAAGTGGGGATTCCTGGCATATCTGCTGAAGTCCATGCAAAAACATCGTTATTGGCCCGAAGAAAAGCTATTAACTCTGCTCTTTCTTCCGAGTTCAATTTAGTCCCAATTTGCGTTTTCCTGCTCGGATCTCTGTCATCAATCTGTACCTCCTCCACATCTTCAACTGGAGCAGTTCTGGTTTCATCTTCTAGTCGGTTATCTACTATTTCAACACCCATAACTTGCCGATCATCAGGTATCTGTTTGGGATTAATCTCGGGTGTCTGAGCCTTGCCCTTCTGAGGTTGTGTTACCGAGGTGATATAGCAATGTCGGGCCACCTCCTGGTTGCCTCGCAGTGTTGCTATTCCCGTAGGAGTTGGGAACTTCATGCATAGATGAGACTGGGAAACCACGGCTCGGATCTCAGTTAGTGTAGGTCGGCCAATGACAGCGTTGAAAGAGGACGCCATCTTGACCACTAAAAACCTCACTGTAGGGGTCACATAACTTCGGCCACTCCCAAATGCAACATTCATGGTGAGGACTCCTTCAACTGGAACTGGTTGGTTGTTGAACCCGTAGATGGGACCATCATACCGCTGCAACAGAGCTGGATCTATCCCAAGACTCTCAAAACAATGGAAGTACATGATGTCTGGTGCACTCCCGGTGTCAACAAGGACACGCTGCACTTCACAATTGTTGATCGTGACGGAAGTAACTAGAGGATCATTGTGAGGTGTGACAACTGTTTCAAGATCAGCAGATGTGAAAGTGATGGGTTGATTCTTCCACTCAGCATCGTCAAATTTTCGTTTCTGAGCTCGGTTCTGGTGCTTAACCTCTCTGACATACAACTTTCTCTGCTTAGAGCTCAAACCACCTGCTTCCAGACCTCCTGTAATCATGTGTATGACCCTAGCTGGTGGTGGGAGTGGGGGTGGAGCTTGCTGATATCCCACACCTTGCCTGTTTGGGGGAGCATGAACTCCTTGATGCTATGTCCCTTGTTCCCTGACAAATCATGGCTGTTCAACTCTCTGGATGTACTCATTCAGCATTCCTTTTTGTGCCAGGCTTTCCAGTTCGGACCTCAGACTATTGCATTGCTCTGTTGTATGACCGTGATCTTGATGAAAATCACAATACCTTGTATGGTCTCTGGTAGCAGCAGCAGTTCTCATTGGTCCCGGACGTCTTAAGTCCATTTTATTCTTAATCTGCATGAAGATTTGTGACCTTGGTAAATTAAAAGGAGTCCAATTAACTGGAGATTTACCTGCAGGTTGTTGCGGAGGTGCTGAGTTTGGCCTGCCGAACCTCAGGGTGGAAGTCGACATCGGACCTCGGTTCTGTGTTATCTTCATCCGTTTCCTGTTCGGATTCTCATCTTTCCAGTCCGGGTGTTGGTTTTTAATAGGGGTGAGGTTCTGTGACAGGGCATATTCCTCAGCAGTTATGAATTTCAATGATCTATCATTTACCTCACTGAAGGTGGTGGCAGGATGCTTAAGCAAACTATCTCTGAATCTTTCATGGCCGAGACCTGAGATCACAGCTGTAATTCCCACTGCTTGGTCGAAAGAGTTAACCTCTAGCACTGCATCATTGAATCTGCTCATAAAATTCTTCAGAGATTCTCCATCCCTCTGCTTGACTCGCATCAGCTCGGAAGTGGTTTTCCTTATCAACCTTCTACTGGAAAACTTAGTGGCAAAAGCAGATGACAGTTCTGTGTACGAGTTGATTGACCTCGGAGGCAGACTGTAGTACCAGGTTCGAGCATTACCTCGGAGAGTAGAGGGAAAGATTTTGCACATCAACGCATCAGAGGCGTTCTGGGCCTGCATGCAAGAGTAGAAAGCATGTAGATGATCATCGGGGTCCTTCGTCCCATCATAAGTTTCAAGCTGTGGTATTCTGAAGCCAGC